GCTGGTCTGTTTGAGCAGAAGCAGAGATAGAGCAGCAGGTCCTGGATGGGTAGAGTGAGAACAGGGTGGATTTCACAGCCCAGTCCATCTCCTAGAGCCATATTGGGAACTGTTTTGTTTAAGGAGGCAAGGGCTATGGACAGTACTGCGCATGCACTGAGCTGGGAGCGAACTCATTTCTGGGTTAGTGAACTGCAACAGCGTGCCTTCCTACAGGTTCCACCCAAGACAGGTCTGGGTAACCCTCAGCCCTAAAGACCAGCTAATCAAGAATTCTAGTATTGGCACATCAGGCACCATTTCTTACAGTGTGGCAAAGAATTTAAGACTGCAGGAGACAACAGTGAGCTGCGCATCCATTGAGCTTGGCAAGAACTCAATGAGCTCATTGCATTGCACTGGTCCCATGGAAAAATAATACCAACTGTGGCATTGTACGGGTCAAAATAGGTCCATGTGGCCTTCAGACCTAATGGCCAACAAGTTCCTGCAAGATCAGTACCACCAACAACAACCTAGCTATATAGGATACCTTATGTCTCCCTAATCCTGGGACCTCCTTCAACCGGAAGTGGGAGAAAGATTGTACAGAAAATGGTGCAGCCTCAGCACGGTATCACAGGAGGTGGAGATTGGTGAGCTAGGAGCTGGGGCTACAGACACTATGGTGGAAATCTGACATGAGAAACCAGACCTGGAACTCGCTGGAGGGAGTAGCACAAGTGACTGCAAACAAAGAGCTGTGTACAAACTGCAATAAGTAAAACTGAACTGCAGACCTGTGGGTGACACAGCTTAGAAACCTGCTCCAAGGAGAAGAATCTGATAATCAGAAGTACAATGACCAAGAGCAAAAGAACAGACAGAGGCCCAATGTACATTGCTGAAGACTCTCCTACTGCAAAAGAGCAAAACCCTTTGCAAACTTCAGAGTTTACTGAGGATGACATTGAGAAAATGGGGGACACAGAATTCAAAATACTTGTTATAAAACTTATCGAAAACGAAAAGGTTATTTAGCAGGCATTCAAGGAATTTAAGGTGTATGTCACAGGAAACGAATCAAACGAAAGCTGATATATCAGAAATGAAGAATACAGTGGAACAAATTAAAAGTACAGTGGAGAGTCTCTAAAATAGAAGGAGGCAGAAGAAAGAATCTCAGAATTGAAAGGTATTTCCTGTCACCAGGGAGAATCGAACAAAAAGCTGGAAGCAGAGCTAGATCAGGCCAAAAAAAGTATTCAAGAATTGAAAGACACTATTATGAGCCCAAATATAAGAATTCTGGGAGTCCCAGAAGGTGCAGAAAGAGATACTGAGGTTAAAGGTGTATTCAATGAAATACTAAGGGAAAATTTCCCTAATCTAGAGAAAGAATTGGGAAACAAGATCCAGGAGGGGCACAAAACTCCCAACAGGCTTGACCAAAAGTGATCTTCACCATGACACGTGATCATCAAGCTCTCTTCAATTGAACATAAGGAAAAGATCCTTAAATGTGCATGTGAAAAAAATCAACTGACATAAAGGAATGCTAATTAAACTCACAGGAGACCTCTAACAGGAAACTCTACAGGCCAGAAGAGAATAGGGCGACTTATTCCAGATTCTAACAGCAAAAAATTGTCAGCCCAGTATAGCATACCCAGCAAAACTTTCCTTTGTCTTTGAAAATGAAATAAAATTCTTCCACAGTAAATAAAAGTTAAAAGAATATGCCTCTTTCAAACCTGCCCTACAGATGATACTTAAAGATGTTCTCTTGACAGAGAAGAGGAATAGCGTCCACCAAAACCAAAGGCAAATGCGAGGAATATCCAAGTAAAATAAAAACAGAAGACTAAATCAATGAACAACCCACTGCTAAAATGACAAAACCGAATTACCACCTATTTGTGTTAACCCTGAATGTAAATGGCTTAAACTCATCAATCAAATGTCATAGATTAGTAGACTGAATTAAAAACAAAACTCACCTATTTGTTGCCTACAGGAGACAGGTTTCAACAAAGATTAGTGGAAACTGTATCTAATGGATTTTGATGTTTTTTGTTAATTTCATCTCTTCATAACACTTTATTCTGATTAAATTCTTTAATGACTCAGATCATACAGAAGCATCATTTTCTTCAAGAAGGTTCTTGATTTTTTTTTTCATTTCTTCAACACATTAGTCATTCAGTAGCATGTTATTTAACTTCATGGTGGTGTTAATTTCTTCCTTTTTTTTTTTCCTGTTCTTTATTTTGTTTTGTGGCTTTTCATTTCAGGGGATGTATAGTAACTGTGTAATGGAGACTATCATATATAGTAGCATGTTATTTAACTTCATGGCATTGTAAATTTCTATTTTTCTTCCAGTTGTTGATTTTGTATTGTGGCTTTTCATGTAAGTGGATGTATAGTAACTGTGTAATGGATACTATCATATCCAGATGTGAGGATAGAATGTAGTATGCATCTCTACTTGGAGACAAATAAGGACTTCCAATGAAACTGTTTACTGTATCTTGACACTAAGATTCTGGAGACTCTGCCGTTGTCCGTAGCTGCAGTGATGGACATGGACTGTCAGACTGTGCGTGAAGAACTTGCTGCAGTAATGACACAGGAGAACTCAACGGTGGGGAGGGACTGGAGAGGGGATCATGGAGATCCCAGAGCCTATGGAACTGTATCATAAAATGATAATAAAAAGAAGAAAAATTAGGGCCCGGCACAGTGGCCTAGCGGCTTAAAAACAATTTGCAGTTTGGTTTTCTAATGGAAATCACAGAATCAATTGTTCGGCAATGTTTGCTGCACCCCCTGCTGGCGACATTGTGACATTTCCTAAGTGGAAATAGCATCTTTAGTTATTGCTCAGTGAGGAAGTACATACATTGCTCTTTGCAGTTGCTTTTATTTAGGAATAATTTAAATTTCACCTGATATGTAATAAAATTTCAATTCTAACCGAAGGAAGTTTCTTTTTTTATAATCTGTCAATTGATGTCTGAATAGTGCTTATCACTTATCCTTCCAGGCAATATAGTTATGTATTTGTTGGGGAAAAAAGTTTAATATATCCTTTTCACTGATATTTCAGATGATATTCAGTAGGAGAGCATGTCTCCAAAACTTCCTTATTTTATTGTAAATAGTTCTACCATAAATATGCTTGCACATAATTCTGTGTTCATGTTTATTTGAAGTAAATATCAACTTTATAATATTTATGAGCTATTTTTTCAAAGATTTATGTAATTGACATGCAGAATGACAGAAGAAGGGAGGGAAGGAGAGAGAAAGAAGGAGAGAGAGAGAAATCTGGAATTTCACCTGGGCCTCCTGTGTGGGTTGCATTCTGAGATGGGCTGCTAGTGTCAGACGCAGTGGGTTAACCCACGATTCCACAGCACTGTCCCATCATGGAGCTTTAAGACAAGTCCTCGGGTCTTAAAAACAGTTCTGAGAAAGGGTTGGCAGTGACGTAGCAGCCCTGCGAGTTAAAACAGCCACGTGGGCAGATAGAGTCATTGTTTGCCTCCACAATGCGCTGTAAGCCGTGATCTCAAATCCGTGTGCTGGTGATCCTTCCAAGGGCTTCTCTGGAGAAAAATAATTTTTTGAAGTGGGCATAGTTTTCTGGTTACCACCATATGGAATAATAGCCATTGAATATCAATTTCTCAAGAACAGAATTCAGAGATGCTGAGCTAAATATGCAAAGATTATTTCCTGAGTGGCAGCAAAAAAAAAAAAGGCATCTAGGGTCATTATTTGTGAACACTGAGTAAATTTTAACTAGAATCCCGTCCTCATTTAAAATAGATGCATCTTTATTAGATGGAATCATGTATTCCTGTTGTGTAGATAAGCTTCCTTTTCTGTGTTAATAAATATTTTGGGGGATTATACCCAGTGTTGCCATCTTGCTCTTGTTCCCTGTTTTCACACTGCGTGCTCATTTGTGACTTGGGTGTTCAGAGGAATGATCACGTGTAAATGTACCAACAGGCCTGAGGCTAGAGTCCTCATGGATCAACGCACGGCCTTTGAATGGCCTTTGCCTCGCTGCAGTAGTGACTCATTGTTCTGTGTACATGATGTTGGGTGCATTTTTTGACTGTTCACACACACACACACACACACTTTTGAAATAACTGATTTTATTTTCTAGTAAAACCCTGTTCATCCAAAGGAATATCATATTCTGACTCATAGGGTATTTTTAAATTATAAAGTGTTTTAAAAGAATTATAGCTTAATAATCACACCCATATTAAAATAGACTTAAAGCTGATCATTGGCTATTTAAAGTCCTGTGGTTCTAGGTTTTTGCAGTCTTTGCATAATGAAAACAAGTGATCTGTTTATAATACCAATATTTAATATTAGTTTGCTGATTAGTACATGTATCTGTGAAAGTAAATGATGTAAAAATACCTTAAGGCAGTTTATTTCCATAGCATTTCTCCTTTTAGTTGTGATTTAATTTCTCATCACTTCTCTCTCGGAAGGCCAAAGCAATCTGGTAAATTATCAAAAACCAAAAGTAGAAACTAAGAGTCTAAGGCTATTTGCATATGATACTCTGGAGTTTAAATTTAGCTTGTCATGTATGATATTGTTGGAGATGTACTTTAGAGTAGCAGAAAGTAAAGTTTTGCTTTTGTCTGATACTTTTATGTCTATAATTTAAAAAACGAATTCATAGACTCTAGTTGGAGACCTTTAAACTGCAGCAAAAGTCATGAACGAACTGATTTTAGCTTAAACCTTGGTTTGCCAAATGAGGAAACTTGTACGCGGAGATTAGGTTAAACTTTCTCAAGTCCTGGTGCCTCAGCCACATTTTCTGATTAACCACTCAAAGTTTTCCAAGTGGCTTCCCATGTGAAGGACAGAGAAACAATTATCTTATCAAATAGCCAGGAAGGGTGTCTTGCTGAACTAATTAGCTCGTAGTGTCACTGAACTTAAGTGTAACATGTTCGTATTTCTCTTTGTTGCAGAATGCAAAGTATGGCGCAATCCACTAAATTTATTTAGGGGTGCTGAATATAATCGGTAAGGACTTTGACAGCTTGGGAAACTTGGCAGTAGTTCAGAGAGCAAAGGCAACAGCAGATGCTGCTTCGCTTCAGGGTCACGGAACAGTCTAAGTGCATGCATCTTTTGATGCTACTCCCCCAGCTTTTTTTATTATTATGTTTTATTAACTTTTTTTGCATAGGAATTGAGATCATGTACCAAAAATGTATAGCTTTTAGAATCTTTCTATTATAACTTTTTAGTATATATTATCAGAACTTTTGAAGTTTACTTGAAGCATGGCTGTAAAGATGACATGCAAGTAGTTATTTGGGGACTTAATTTAGCAAAGCTGTAGAAAAATTGTTTTTGAAAAATCTCTTAATAATTAGGGCAAGTTTTCATTCGCAAGGGCTAATACATTCTCTGTGAAGATGTATTGATGCATTTGAAAGGCAGAGTTACACAAGAGAGGGAAACCGAGGGAGAGGGCCTCAGCTGCTGGATCTCAAGCCGAGCGGCCCTCGTGGTGGGGCTATGTCCGTCCACCCAAAGCCAGGAGCCAGGAGCTTCTTCTGGGTCTTCCGTGTGCAGGCTCCCAAGCATTTGGGCCGTCTACTGCTGCATTCCCAGGAACATTAACACGAAGCTGGATCAAAACCTGTGCCCAATGTGGGATGCTGGAGTTTCAGGTAGAAGTGTAACTTGCTGTCCTCTAATGCCAGCCTCAGGCTAGTAGAATTTCAAGACAAAAATATAGGGGAAAAAGTTTTACTTTTCAGTGTTGCTGACATATTTTCTAAAGGGAGGGTAGAAATTTTTTTTTGAAGACTTTAAAAAACACTTTCCAACTTTTAGTATTCAGCTGGTAATTTATGTTTTCATCCGTCTACAACTTAACATTCGGTAGGCGTTGATTCACTGCCTCTAACATGTCTGCCCGCCCTGGTGCCCTTGCAGGTACACGTGGGTGACGGGACGAGAGCCTCTGACCTACTATGACATGAATCTCTCTGCCCAGGACCACCAGACGTTCTTCACCTGTGACTCGGACCATCTGCGCCCCGCGGATGCGAGTATGGGAAATCTCTCTAGTAGCTGCTTGGTGGGAGGGATGTTTGCTTGAAGTAACAAGGTTTCTACTTAGGACTATCTGTTCTATAAAAATTTTGGTGAATAAAATATTAGATTGCTGGTGGAATAGTAGAACTGAGCATTCTGACACATAAAATTTTATCACAATGAAATATAGATGGTCACATGAATTCCTTTATTATGATTGAAAACTGGACTTTAAAGAGTAAAAGGTTCACAGATTTTGAAAAAATATTATATATGAGGCTAATTGAATTTGTCATTGAAATGGAAAGAAAGGCTTTATTTTTCTGGTGTTGTAATTGAAAAATTGGGATTCACTGAATCCAAACAAGTAAGGAATACTTAGTAGATTTTATGTATATTAGCGATTTACAGGTCTTCTTATAGGGTCATTAGACTTGAATGGCGGACATGGCCTTGGTTACTGGAAATCATGAGTATTTTCTAGAGAAAGACTTTGGTTAGCATGTATTCTTGTAAAGATTTATTCATTTGAAAGGCAGATACATTCAGAGGAAGAGGTCCTGCATCCACTGATTTATTCCCAAACGGCCAGGTTGAAGCCAGGAGCTTCTTCTGGGTCTCCCACATGGGTGACCGGGGTCCTCTTCTCCTACTGTCCCAGATGCACTAACAGGGAGGCAGATCAGAAATGGAGCAGCCAGGACTCAAACTGGTGCCCACATGGATGCCAGCGCTAGTGGCATCTGCTTAGCCTTCTGTGCCATGGTGTTGGCCCTTAGCATATGTTTTATACTATTTGGGTTACATATAATCTTACTGATATTTCTTGTATTATTAAATTTATTCAAAGGAAATATGAGAAAAACTTTTAAAAATGAATATGTACATATTATTAAGAATTTGGATTGGAAAATACAAATTTATAAAAAATAAGGAATTATTATTATTTTTTAATGTTACACATAGCCATATGAAACAGCACCATATAGTAAGTATTACCAAGATTTAACTTATCACAATGCACTTGTATTACAATGTGCTGTCATGTATGAGAATTCAGTATGCAGGTGAATTTGAGACACATGTACACATGTTAAGCAACACCCTGCTACATTTTTTGTTCACCCAATTCATAATTCCTAAAGTGGCTTAAAAGTGTTCCAAGATCCAGAACCTGAAGCAGGTGCTCAGGAAAGTGACCAATAGAAATGAGGATGTGCCTAAGTAGAATGAAGAGATTAATTGCTATGTAATCTCAAATATGTAAAAACTAACATATGCTAACAACAAATGATAATAAGATACCAAAGAAATAGAAAATTTCTGTTAGAGCAGCTTTTCCAGTATTTTTTACTCCAATAAATTTACATCTTGTTGTTTCATGGGCACAAAGAAGGTTTGTTATCACAAACTGCAAAGCAGTGGAATAGCCAGTTCAAATGCATTTGAGGAAGTTTGGAGACTTGAGCTGACCATCTTGTTAATGAAATACTCTTTTTGTAATACAAGCCAAAAGCCATTAATTTAACTGTTGTTGTTTATTGAGTCTTGTTCATTATATGTATTGATTAACCTTCCTCTCCTTTTCTCTTTCTCTCTAAAACAGTAATGCAGAAAGCCTGGAGAGAAAGAAATCCTCAGGCTAGGATATCTGCAGCTCATGAAGCCTTGGAAATAAATGAGTAAGTCAGGGCAAAATCTTGGTGTTGAAAAGAAAAATATCATCCTTTGCTGAACATGTTTGGTTTCCACTGATGGGATGCCTGTATTAAGGGTTAAGGATTATGGAGAGGGGGAGGCATTGCATTTTGTTAATGAAGGACAGCCATATCTGGAGGTAGTTTGAGTCATTTTGGAAAACATGTCGTTGTCTCTGCTATGATGCTCAATTAAATCCTTCCAGAACTTTTCTTGGGATAATATGAGGACATAAATGCAGTTCTTCATACACTTAACATATAAAACATGTGATGGATAAATTTTTCCAAATTTAGAACCCTTATCTGGACTGTCACATTTTCCTTATAGAACTTCTGCTCTTAGGTGAAGCATAGTAAAGACACAAGTTGAAAAATAGATAACATTGAAAAATATTTTCAGATCTAGACAAAGATAAGAAATGCTGTCCTTAGTCTTATAAAAACACTTTGTGAGTTACCCACAAAAGCTGGGAAATCATTTCTGGAAATCTCAGAAAATGAAAAATTCTTCAAGTTGGAGTCAGAAATTCAGGGTTGGCAGAGACCTTAAAGGTCACTTAGCTCAACCACCCATCTGGTGCTTGCATCACCTCGGCACTCTCCTTGCCAAGTGGTCATTGTTCAACTATTTTGTGATTTGTCTGCAGAAGGTTACAGAATCTTCTTAAGCAGTCTAGAAAGAAAAAAATATATATCATAAGTTGGAAATCCTGCCATTTTAACTGATTGATCTATTTGGTTTCTGATTCTCTCATGCAACATGTTTATTTTTCAATTTCTTATCACCTATGAATTTTATATGCCCGCCTTTTGTGTTGTCATCCATGTTTCTGAGAAAAAAAAATATGAGGACTGGGAGTAGAGCTGTGTGACGTGACACACAGGAAAGTACTCTGCAGGTTCGTGTCTTCATGAAGCATTATTCTTTGGTGTAGTTCAGCCAATTATTACTAGGGTACCCAATTACACTTTGTTTCAACACAGATGTCTCCGTTTTCCTCTTAAGAATCAGGTATAGCTGTGGATCTTCAGTTTATAAAAATTCTTTTGGAGCAAATTAAGCCAGTACAAATTTGATTTATTTAGTCCTAGTGAACTTAAGCTGATGCTTATCACTTTCTTTTTAAAGTGCTCAGGGACCATCCTTTTAATAATTCGTTAGAATTTCTTTCCAAATCACTGCTCTGTAGTTTGGGAAGTCTGCCTTCTTCCCCTTTTGGAAAATGTGTACTACATTTGTCATCTCATCTTCTAGTGCCTTTTCATTCTTTGATTCCTCAGCTGTCCGCAGAGTAATTCCATGGCCTACCTACAAGCTCGGTTGGCTTCTCAGAATCTGCCTATGCTAGTATAGTAACTCATTTAGAAAGGGCTAGTTATTTGCTATCTTACATCTTTTCACCCATTTCAAAGTTTGATTTCTTCTCCCCTTTTAAGTCTGACAGTCATTTTCCTTGACAGAGAAACTAGGAACAAAACAGAAGGAGACAAGTTTTGCTTTCTCTTTATTATCCACTGCTGCTAACAGTAAATCTTCCATGTTTTGATATTGTATTGTTGTCTATTTTGCTTATTTGTTTAAGTTTTGGAAAGCTGGGGGGTTCAGAGATATAGGACTTAAGGTATAATTTAAAAACAGGGAATAAATGGTTGTCTTCAGCCCTTTTGTTTTGTTTTGTCTCTGTTTATTTTTTGCAAGCCTCAACTAATTTGGAGTTTGAGCTCTCCTGGCATTATTCTTCTAAGTTCATTCCACTCTCTTATATAAGTCCCTCATTATATGTTCTCTTTCCATCTTGTTTTTCTTTGTTTTTGTTTTTTTTTATAACATGTCCTTTAAAAATCAGACCTGGGAAAGATCTCTGTAAAGCCGCATTGGTTACTTATGTGCTGCCTCTCTTTTCCTCCCAAGAGGATCATTTGTGGTTGCTGTGACAGACATTTGAAAGCTGCTCAACCCTCTTGTATCATTTCTCCTTCGGAGTCTGATGCCATTGAATCATGCCTCTTTTCTTTGAATTTTTTGAAGTCTAACTTCCCCTCTTTGGTGATCCAAAAATGACATAGTAAGTCTCTCTGAATGTTCCTATCAATTCTCATTTCACCAACTATTTTTTTCTTCTTGGTCAGAATTCGGTCCAGAGTTGAAGTTCCCCTAATTGCTTCCTCTACCATCTGGGAGATAAAATTGTTGCCAAAGTAAGTCAAGAACCTGTCAAGTGCCCTCCTTCTAACCAGTGAGACTTCTAGTGGCTATCTGGATGGTTGACACCCCATCATCACACTTCTTGCTTCTGTATGTGTATTGTGTTGTGACAAGGATGCATCATCTCTATCTTCCATTGAGCTGAGCAGTCTGTTCTGTACTCCCCAACCATTAGCACTTCTGTTGCTCTCTCGTTTTTCTTTCACTCACAAGCTCTTAGCATGTTTCTACCCCAAGTTCATGAGTTTCCACCTAGATATATGTTTCTTGGCCAATAGCGCTACTCTGCCTCTCCTTGCAGGAATATTATTTGAAATATAAATGAGCAAAGCAGGCAAGCTAGCCACAGCCATCTTTGAAGCCCCAGCCCACCAACTGCAATCTTACAGCTAATTCCTCTGATGCTGTATCTACTACTCAATATTATAATGTCAATTCTCACCTCATTACGTTTGACCCATGTGTGTATGTTGGCATTTGAAGTCTTAATAATTTCTTCTGATGCCTGCCTACCTAGTTATTTTCTCCAGTGAATCATTGGACAATTTTTGCTTCATTATTATTCTTTCCAAGTCATGTATGCTGCCCTCCAAAGGAATTTGTTATATAGCTCTTTTTTTTTTTGGGGTGGGGCAGGTGTGGGGAGGAAAGGAGGGTACAAGGGTGGACCTTTTTCCCTATTTCGCCACTCTGTTTAAAGTCCAATTGATGGTTCCTGCCTGAAATTAGAGGGCTTGAGCAAAGACCTTACAAGATCCCTCCTCCAGGCAAACTGACTGGTAACCCCAAACCTTGCATCAATCATTCAGTTCAGTCTCCTTTTCCTGTCTAGGTATTGCAGCTTGTGGAGAGTAATGTGGCATTTGGGTTTACTTTCTGTTACTTTCTCCCTCATGGTCTGATGGCGAAAAGCAGGGAAATGGCCACAAAGAGACAATGCAGAAGGAAAATGAAGGGATGGGTACAGATCAGGACCTGTGTGGTCTGTCCAGCCTCACCATTTCCCTGTCACTTTCCCATCTTTTGCAGTGGTTTGGAAGATCTACAGTTCCTAGAATTCCCCAGGTTCATTAGTTAACCATGGATCCTTTCTGACTTCCTGGTGTAGAGGGTTGTTGAAAGGATTATATGAGATGATATGTGTTAAGTGCCTGGTACAGTGCTTAATATATCCTAAGCGACAAAAGTAGCTAGTTAAAGGCATGATATTTAACTTTCCTTTGCTTCTGTGGCTGGGGCAAACTTGAGCTCTTCAGAAGTAGCACTACCTGTAAGGTCCTTTTTGTGTTCTCTGAAACAGGAGAATCAGTGCTGTTATGAGATACTGAATTTCTTTCTTTGAACACGTCTTTTGATTTAAGAAATTCTATGTTTTGTACACAAAGTAGACTTACATATAGTTCCTATAACTTTGAGCGTTGGAAGGAGATGTCTGCTGAACTGTTGTTGTCAATGTCATTAGCTGACATATGTTGAGCACATTTCCACTGCTGGGCACTGTACTGAGCACTTTGCATGCATCACCTCGCTTAACCTTCACAACAACGTTGCAAGTAGATTCCATGTTGTTTGACATCAGGGAGGCAGAGTAATAACTTGCCCAAAGTTATACACTAATAAGAGGTTGAGTCCAACTGTTAAGACCCATCTTTCTAATACTAGACATTCTACTTCTTGAGCTAAGATACCGATATTTCTTTTGTGCCATTATTTTGTGTCAGCAACTATAAACAGGGGTGCATGAACCAGTTGGCCCCTTTGCATGTTTTGGCATAACTCCTTGCCCTTGTGCATGAACTCCTGTGGTTGATAACCACAGCTCTGGTATTTGTCATTGATGGTGACTGTTATCTGAATGAACAGGTGTGCAACTGCTTATATTCTTTTGGCTGAAGAGGAAGCAACCACCATTGCTGAAGCAGAAAAGCTGTTTAAGCAGGCTCTGAAGGCTGGAGATGGCTGTTACCGGCGTTCTCAACAGTTACAGCATCATGGATCTCAGTATGAAGCCCAACATAGTAAGGTTTCATCCAAGGCGGAGAACTGGGGCTCCAGGTCATACGATGATGATTAATCAGGGCACATTTCAAGTCCAGCTCAAAATACAATGCGCCTGGATGGGAACAATTACTGGCTTTTGCTTTTCTTCATCTTTATTCATTTTTTTTCTTTTCTAGAAGAGTACTTTTCTAATATACAATTAATGTAGAGCCTCATTACTGCTTATTTTCACATTCTTTTTCTTGGTTTTAGATTCCTAATCCAAGAAATCAAATAGTAATTTTTAGTGGTCATCTTTCTTCCATGTAGATCTCTTACATATTTCTGTTCATCAGTTACATCTTTGTCCTATAACTTTATATCCCAATTAGTAAACAAAATTTTAATTAGTATTATTAAATGTTTGATAATATAGGTCTAATGTAGCATAGGCTGAAAATAGGACAATTAAGAATATAACAGTTATTGCTGATTGTATCAGTATTTGCTTCTTATTTAAGAAATATTGATAGTGGCTTCCAGAAAGAAAGTACGAGTTTCTATTGTTATTTTTTTATATTAAAACGACGCCTTCCTCTATTTAAGATAACTTTAATTATCTGAGATCTTTCACTTTAGCACACTAAACTCTTAGTGATGTTTCAGATAATATTGTAGAAACAAGGCAACAAAACCATTTCTGAAATTCCATGAGCCATTTGACTCATCACTTTGTAAGTGTATTTTCATGGAATTATTAAAGTTTTGTTATTTCATTTTTTTAAAAAAGGATTTACTTATTTATTTGAAGCATAGGAGAAGGAGAGAGAGGGATGGAAGAAGGGAAGAAGAGAGAGTGAGAGATCTTCTAGCCACGGGTTTACTCTACAAATACATACAGTAGTCAGGGCTGAGCCCGAGCCCAGAACTCCCCTAGCTCTGCTTTGTAGGTGGCAGTACCTGAATGTTTTGGCCATCTTCCACTGCTTTCCCAGGCACGTTAGCAGGGAGTTGGCAAGGAGGCAGAGTAGCCAGGACAGGAACTGGTGCTTCAGTGTGGCATACTGGCATCGTAAGGAGTGCACCACAACCCATCCCAAGTTGTTGCTTTTTAAGGTGAAATTTCTCTCCAATCTCTTTCCTGCAGCTTAGAATGCTGAAATGTATTTCCTTTATATTTGTAATTATATGATTAAATTTTAATATTAAACTTGGATTTGGTGTAGAAACTGACTGCATTATTCTATATGATGAGGGTGCCAGCAAGATCTTTGCATTTTTACCTGCATGCTCATGTTAATGTCCACAAAGCCCATTAACGTTCATGTGGTTTTATTGTGCAGTGATCATAGAAGTTAAGAAAGTTCCTAGTCACTACCAATATCTTACCGTTAAAAAACTACAGTGCAATGCATTGTGAAGACGTGTATTCAATGTTTATTTTATGAGCTAAATGGAAATTAATGCATAACAATTATAAACTACTACTTCAGAAATTTTTCTTTTCTTCTCTAAATTAAATCTTTTCAACCTGTTGCCTGAATCTATCCAAAAATATAATCACATCTTTAAAATAATTTGTAGGTACTTGGCAAATTTTCAGCACACATCTTGTTCTCATTGTTTAAAATTTGAAATGTAGGACTTTGGTCTTAACATTTTTTTTAATAGCTGCATATTATACATGTACTTAATCTAAAACAGGTGTGTCATATTTTTCTCAAACATGGTAATTTTATTGAGGATTATATGCATGCATGTTCTTACTAGTTGAACACATCCAAAAAGACACATAATTAAACAAGAGATTAAGATAAGAAGTTGTTAATGTACTTTTAAAGACCATTTTAGTGACTGTTATTTTAACTATTTAGCTTGTCAATGCTTTCTCTAACACTACGGTAGTTTTTCATTTTGTTGCATACTCTATTGTCATATCTGGAATGCGTTATATTGCCATCTAAAATCCACTGCTTTAGGGACCTGGAGATGGTTATGATGTCACTAGTGTTAGAGAAAGAATAATATGAAACAGAAGTTCAAGATGAGGCTTCTCCAGACTTAATGTCAAGAATTAAAAAGAATAGTTCATTGGGATGCAACCCGAGATTCACCTCTGTGCTTCTTTACCAAAAGCTTGCACACTCGAAGAATGTGGAATTCTTGCTTGTAAACCAAATGCGATATGGGTATGATCTTTTTTTTTTTTAAACCAAATATTCAACATCCAACCTCAAAAAGAGGAATTAAGTAATCAGTCACGTTACTTGACCTTCGCAAGGCTGAGTACTTTGTGTTCATTCTGTTATTAACCAAGTGGTCAGTACTTCTGGCAATAAGGAAAAACCAAGAGAGTGGTCTCCTTGTTTAAGGTTTTCCTTTAAGGACAAGGCAAATGGCCAATGCATTTTTTTCTTGCTGCTCAACTGAAAGCTCGCTCTCTTTTTTTCTCTCACTCTGTCTTTTAAATCAATTTTGATGTTTTATATCTCCTTCTTCAGGGCGAGACACCAATGTCTTGGTCTACATCAAAAGAAGGCTAGCAATGTGTGCCAGAAGACTCGGGAGGACCAGGGAAGCAGTGAAAATGATGAGAGATGTGAGTTTGAATTTGTGTTTGGGAATGGTGGCCGTGCAACTGGCTGTAGGCTGTCGGTGTCCACTGAATGGCTATTGCAAACATTATAAGTGATAGTTTGTGATCCCGTAAGCCCCATAGACCCTAGAGCCAGACTGTCAGAGTTTCAGCTCTACTTCCCGGTTGACTAAGTGAGCCATCTTGTGAAAGTTAGAAAACTTCCTTTTTGCCCTAGTTCTCTCACCTGCAGTTTGGAGAGAGCAGTAACAATCCTCCCAGTTACTTCTGAGGATCGTGGTGAGAGCTAAATGAGGTAATACATACAAAGCCTTTAATTAGAGTCTGTGGGTTGATTTTGTGACACAACAGGTTAAGCTACCATTTACAAACCTCCCATTCCATATTAGAGTGCCAATTCAAGTCCTGGTTGCCCCACTTTTGAACCAGCTCCTTGTTTAATGTTTTTGGGAAGACAGTAGGGAGTGGCCAAATGCTTGCACCCCTGCCACTCTTGTGGGGGTTAGTTGGAGTTACTGATTCCTGGCTTCAGCCTCCTCTAGCCTTGGTTGTTGGGCCAACGACTGGAAGATCTCTCTCTCTCTCAAATGGTCTTTCAAATAATAAATAAATCCTTAAAGAAATACTGATACATTAAAAACAACTCCATATATTTCCTTATTACTATTTGGGGCTGTAGCTAAAGCCATTGAGATCAGCTATTTTAGTTGTCCTTTTCTCTATGTAGTTTTAAGTAAGATTTGATATATTGTGAGTAATTTGTGCTATCTTCAAATTTTGTAATATTAGGAACTAATCCTGTTTGTAGTCTCTTAAAATATTTTTTATATTCTTGAATCGGGGTATTTTATTATTAGCAGTCACCATAAGATTTAAGAAAATAGGATAGATGTGAGAGTTTTAAAGCAAAACAGAATCATTAGAAGTTACGATTATATAGCTTTAAAATAGAACAGTGCTTTTCAGGGAGAGCAGTTATGTTTCATGGTTTGTTACTGTTGTTAGTAAGAAAGGATATTCTTAAAAAAATTGACCACAGTGTAAATTGTATTTATGAGATGTTTTCTTTTAAAAACAACTTCAGAAAACATTTTATGCTATTCTTAAGTTTCTGAAGATATAGATGACTGTGCCTTTATAAATGTGGAACAGTCAAGGACTGGATGGAAGTAATGTCTTGCCTTATTCTCTACTCATAGGTTTGAGTTCAGACTGTGAACCGTCTCTGGAAGAGCAGTTACTTGGGTGAATTCCCTAGTATCCTTGGAAGGGGGAGGCAAGGGGCACCTACACTGAGAGCCTCTCCCAGTTATCTCTTCATGTAACAGTACCGTGTGAAGGCCATGTGAGACCCAGCTTGGCGTCTGGCCAACCCACTAAGCAGCAGTGTAGTCCCCAGATCTAAGAAGATCCTAAGATCATTCTGAGTGAATGTGTGATAGATACCCCTTACGTGACGCCAGGGCAAAGGGGGTTGGTGAGAGTGGGATTCTTTTGTTTGGATGAAGAATTTAGAGAATGTTTGTAATCTACCTTATGTGCTCATTTTTTTTTTGTTTTAAAAAGGTGGTTTCTCAAAGCTTTCTAATTTGTTCTCAAAGCTTTTAATTTGCAGAAATTCCATCCTCTGACATTACAAAGAAACCCCACTAATCACCCTGGCGCTTTGAAGGAGCTGGGGACTTTATGAAAAATAGATGTTCCTCTTCACCTGCTCCAGCCACAGTCAGACCTTAACAGTGTTGTACTTTGATCACCTTTTCTTGCAGGAGGAGCAGGTCTTGGAGATTTTCTTATTCCGTGCCTAGGCAAATCCTGGTTTTTCTTAGTCTCATGCTACTTCTTTTCCAGATAAACTTATCTACAGTATATCCTCCATGATTTGCTTTGTGTTTCATTGTTAGTGTTTGTTTATATTTCCTTTTATTGATCTAGCCCAGATGTAGATCTTGGGGAGAAGATCTGGAATGTAAGGGAAGAAACCTGAGCAGGGAGTTGAGCAGTGTGGATGTGACATCTCGCCTCTGCCCTTGGCCAGCTTGGAGAGCCGTAGTAACTTTCTACGTGCTTTTCTCACTTAGTCTTCTCTAGGATGGGGGTCATGGTTCTTAACTGAAAAAGTAACCGATGGGGAAAACCAAATGAGTGTGCAGAAACGCCTGGTGATTTGTTTTTATTGAGTGACTTGATCACCCAATCAAGTCATCCATATGTGTAGTATACCTGTGTGTATTTATACACACATGTATGCATTTACACACGTTTGTGTCTGTATAGATATATATTTCTCACAATATACTTCTTAATGTCTCCTATTTTAAGGAGGCCAATAATTGTTGCCTTTTCTCGAGGTTTGTGAAGCATTCAGCAAATGTGGACCCTTCCTCTATAATAGGCCTGTGAGTGTCACTGTCGGACTTGGTGGAGATGTGTATTTGAGAGAGAAATATTCAAAGTGTTCTTTCCTTTAGAAACTCCTTTTATCAATCCTAGATCCTTTTATCAAACCCCAGACCATAGAAGAGAGGTTGAGAACCTTACGCTGCGGTCCGAGCCTCGAAGGAGACAGTTGTGGGTGCAGCCCAATGTGTCTGACTCTTTTCAGGTCAAGGGTCAGGCTGCATGGAGGCATTCACTCCTTGAAAAACATGCACATGAACTATCTCACTGTGAAACTTCCTCTGATAAAGCAGAGCTCTGGATTCCAGGCAGGCCTACTGATAAAGCATTTAGGCCAGAGGAGCTAATTTTTCATGAAGATATGGCCATCCTCTCCGCATGTGTGTGGGTGTTAACTGTGCTAAAGAAGATTTTCAATTAGAAGTAGAAATATTGGGGTTAGAATGCCTCCCTTGTAGGAAGCAGAGTCATTTAAAAATTGTATCGGGAGATGCCTTAAGAAAAGGAAAGCTGTTAATTGGTAAGATATCCTGAGAGAGGATGAAAAAGAATTCTGGGATGTCTGGTTGCAGATAATTTCTATATTTCAGGGCTCAAGGTTTTATGATGGGTCAATAAAATGTTGATGCTGTCAGTGAATTATTGATGAGGTAAACACCAACTCCTTCGTGTCAAGCAAGATTCACAGCTACTCATTTTTTAAAAGCGACACAGTGATTACTTCGAATTCCCAGAATATTTTTTTCCCAAACTCACTTCAATTTGTTTCCTTTTGCAATAAAAAACATGAATGCATCTTAAAGAAATCTAACAAAGTGTTTTCAGGCCAACCCCATGTATAGGTGCAGGTTTAAACCCTGGTTGCTCCACTTCTGATACAACTCCCTGCTGATGAGCCTGGAAAGGCAGTGGAAGAACTTGAGTCCTTGCACTCATGTGAGAGACCCAGATGAAGTTCCTGGCTGCTGCCTTCAGCCTGACCCAGCCCTGGCCATCGTGGCCATTTGGGGGATGAACCAGCAGATGGAAGAACACTTTTTTTTCTCTTTCTCTCTCTTTGGCTCTACTTCTCTCTCTGGAATGCTGCCTTTCAAATAAATCGATATTAAAAATAGTTAAATTTTCAGGAAAAAATATTTTGGTTGCAGAGATAGCCAAGAACACCTCTGGCTTTTAAATTTCATTATTGTTTATTATCCTAGGTGGAAAAACTTGTACCTTTTGTTTTATTAACGTTAAGGGAAAATCTTTGTGTTTTTCTTAGTTTTGGTGATTTTGCTTCATATACATTTGATACACACACAATTTCTTTTTTCCATTCAATTTGTACCATTTGGCTAGCTTCCATTTCTGCTATGTCCTGTGGGGGCACATTTATGTCAGTTCATCACCCATTAAGAGCCAGTGGTCTGTAGGCCAGCATCCTGGCCTAGTGGATTAGCCACTTTCTGTGATGCTGATATCACATATGGCTGCCAGTTCAAGTCCTGCCTGGTCCTCTTCTGATCTACCTCCGTGTTAATGTGCCTGGGAAGGCAGAGCGAGATGGCTGAGTCCTTAGGATCATGATCCGCTCTACTTTAGGACAAATCCAGCTGGAATTCCAGACTCAAGGCTTTGGCCTGCCACAGCATCATCCGTTTCAACCATTTTTGAGTACCCCAATGGATGTAAGATTTCTCTCTCAACTCTGCTTCTAAACTCTGTAGTTTTGTCGTCTGAGTAAATGAATCAATTTTATTTTTTAAAAGAGCCATTGATCTAGTAAAGTTTGAAGAGAAACAAGTCTATTTCAGGGCAGAAAACTTTTTTCATGCACTGCTTGCTTGTACCTTAAGTATTCCCCACCATGGTACAGGCCTGAAAGCAGCTGTGGACTTGACCAGGCTGGGTGTAGGAACTGTTCGACTCAGTAGAGTCCTGAAAAGGCAGAGTCTCGGGGCACAAAGAGCATACAAAAGTGAACGTTGCGGTGGGAGAGTGTGAAAGCCTGATGTGTTGTGGTGGTCTCTCTTGCATCTCTCCAATGCTTCCAGATCAGTCCATTTTCATCTCTCAAGAATCTGCCATATGTTTGAAAGTTGACGGTAGGCTCTCCAACTTGACGGTTCTTTGTTGCAGTTTTATCCAGGTCTCTGAGCCATTCTCCCTTTTTCTTGTCTTACTGTCTCTGAAACCCCACCTTTTCATACGTGGCCTGACACTTGATATTCTATATCATCACGGCCTCTTCTGGAGATAGTTTGTTTACTTAATTTTAGGAAGCCAGGCTTTCTAAGTGTTCTTGAAATCTCACGGTATCTCAGCTTGATTCTCTTCATCTTCCTGTCTTCCAAAACTTGAAGTGCTGAGAGATAATATCTAGTCTCAGATTGTTACCATTAAAATGCTGACAAACCTTGGTGTGGTAATAATTGTGTCCTAAGCATTGTTTCAAGGCTTTTATACATTTAAAACTTATTTCAGTTTTCTAACAGTTCCTAACACAGGTGCTTGTTCAAGACCACGTAACTAGTGAAGATTTCTGAATATGCCTTGCCGAACACCTGCGTCAGCAGCACACAGGGTGGTAGTTTGATTCCTCCCTGATAGGGGTGGAGGCA